GTACCTCGACGAAATCAGCGACCATAAGGTCATTCATGGCACATTCCAATGTAAGCTGAAGCGCCCAGACAAAACAAGGAAAAAGCTTACCTTATACGATAAGGGTGATTATAATAATTTCAATAAAGAACTAACAAAATTCTGTCAGTTTGTAGTTAAAGATTTTAACAAACGATCTGTCACTGAAAATTGGTTAATGTTTAAATCTAAAATGCATGAGCTTATTAGTACTTACATTCCAACAATTACGATTGGTGAACGTAGCACATCCCGCTGGTTTAATCCTGAACTCAAGAGGCTCAAAAACAAAAAGAAACGACAATTTCGCGCCGCAAAAAACAGCAACAATCCTGTGGCGTGGCAAAAATACCAGACTACCACGAAACTATTCTGCTCTGCCATCGATAAAGCGAAGCGGCTGTTTAATAATACCACCTTGCCCAACTTACTCCGCACTAACCCAAAACAATTTTGGAGAGTGATTAACCCGCGAAACGAAAACAAATGCATATCAATAATGGATCCAACTGGACAGCCTATCGCGAATAATGCAGTAGCAGAAGAACTAAACCATACCTTTTCTTCCGTTTTCACCAGAGAACCGATTGAAAACCTCCCTGATGTCTCCCCCCACAACTACCCTACCATGCCGGACGTCATTTTTTCACCTCAGGGCATCCAGAAAATTATCGAGTCGTTAAAACTTACATCATCCTGCGGCATCGATGGTATAAATGCTAAGGTGCTCAAAAACACCAAAGAAATCACCAGTGTCATTCTTTCCTATATTTTTCAGCAATCACTCTCATCCGGCATCGTTCCTCACGACTGGAAAGTGGGTAAGATCGTTCCGGTTCCTAAGCCTGGTTCATCTAGTTACCGGCCAATTTCCTTAACCAGCGTCTGTTCAAAAATAATGGAACATATAATTCATTCACAAATCGCTAACTTCCTTACCTCAGTTAAATTTTTTCACCCTAACCAACATGGATTCCAAAGGGGACTCTCATGCGATACTCAGCTTGCACTATTCATCCATGACTTAAGCGCTAGTGTAGACCTTAACATACCAGTTGACGCCCTTTTTATTGACTTTGAGAAAGCCTTTGACAAAGTTCCCCACAACCGCCTACTACTAAAACTCTCCCAATTAAGCCTTAACCAACTTGTCTACAATTGGATTCAGGACTTCCTCACTAACCGTCAGCAATTTGTTGAAGCTAACGATACGCCCTCTTCCCTTTCCAACGTAATCTCCGGTGTGCCACAAGGTACAGTTCTAGGACCCCTCCTCTTCTTAATTTACATCAATGATTTACCCGATAACATTTCATCTAACATCCGCCTCTTTGCCGACGACTGTGTAATCTACCGACCTATTACTAACGTTTCAGATACAATTACTCTCCAGCAGGACCTACTAAAGCTGGACGAGTGGTGTCGCAAATGGCTCATGGTATTAAATACTAATAAAACTGCACTTATTTCATTTCACAGACGCCAAAACTTACCCACCACTAACTATAATATTAATGGCTCCATAGTTTCTTCCCTAAGTTCCATTAAATATCTCGGTGTTAACATTTCACAGAATCTAAACTGGTCTTTTCACGTAAGTAAAATAGTTAACAATGCTAACAGAGCTCTCGGTTACCTTCGTCGTAACTTGCATCTTGCCCCTCCATCAGTCAAATTACTAGCCTACAAAACACTAATTCGCCCAAAACTAGAGTACGCATCCGCCATTTGGGACCCATTCCAAATTAACCTAAGTAAGTCCATCGAACTAATTCAAAACCGAGCAGTTAGATTCATCTACTCAGATTACTCGTATCATACCAGTGTTACCACCCTTAAAAGAATAGCAGATCTACCTAACCTTGACCTACGCCGTAAGGTTTCCAGACTATCCTTGTATCACAAAATGTATCATACGTTTCATTACAACTGTCCCATTCAATCAGCTCATCGTACTTCAGCCCGCACAAGCCACCACAAGGCCGTGTACCCACCTCCTGCATGTACCACAGCCCTACATCACTCCTTCTTCGCTCAAGCAGCCAGGGACTGGAACGATCTTCCCCCAAGTGTCATCCATCATAGCAACACGGATAGATTTAAAAATGCCATAGAATCATTGTTTTATTAACCCTATATTGTTTGCCCACACCCTCATGTAAAGCCCCCTGTTGGGTGGCCTTTGAGGTATATTAAATAAAATAAATAAATAAATAGTGAAGTACATTTCACAATACCGAAAAGGCCACTTTTACCGCGAGACGACGCTCGCTAAGCGAAAAAACGCGCGAAAAGAAAATGTAGGCGAGGAGACGCCACCTTGAGGTTCCCGCGCTAAACTCCATGGCGTCATAAATTTTGAAAGCGTCTATTGGGTCCTACGTAGCTCTTGATCGATAAAGAAATGAAGTATACGTCGGCATCTGTGGGTGTCAGAGACCTAGCACACCGAGTTTCAGGAAGTGTCATCAAGCCAATGTCACGAAAATACGAAAAGGACATTTCGAAATTTTCGACGTGACGCGCGGAGATTTCGGCGCTAAATTTGAAAAATGAACCTTGATTTTCTCTGCTAATTACGAACTTGTGATATTGAAACATATGTCATTAGAGTTCCCAGAGCACAGTTTGTCAAATCAAATTAAGTAATTGTTTCTCTTTAGTGTCCCTTTCAGGGGTGGTGCCACCAATATCACAATACATCTTGCTAAACTTAGCGTAAACACAAGTGTTCGACTCACCAGGCACAAAGAAGTTTGGACTGTACCCACCCAAAGAACCTTTTATGACAAACAATCATTGTCCTACAGACTACCTTCTTTGTTAAATTTTTTAAACCGCGAAGATTTCGATCCTTCCTCTAAACAAAACTGTCAGATTAAACACTTCGCCCAACTGATACATTATCCTCAATGATACATCTCTCAGAATTTATGCCCATTCTTTCCTTTTTATTATTGCTTTTCATGTTCATGCCACTTCATGACCACACATTTGAACTACTCTCTTTTTATCTTAGCACTGTTTTCATAAACTTTTTGTATTACTTTTTTGTGATGTTATACCTCTATGTTTATTTCATATTTGTTGTACATGATTGACTGCCATTCCTGCTGCTTTGTCAACTTGTGAATGGGGTCAGGACGTCGTCATGCTCTAGAGCTTTTAGTCCTGTACTCCACTTTATCTAAAGGAAATAAAATGATTGATTGATTGTTGAGGCTTGCGCGTTCTTTGCTGCAAGCGTTTCTTATAGCTCGAGGAAGCATAATACACGCACCAATATTCATTTATTCTAGCTAAATAAATTATTATCGCTTTCTTTTCATATGTGGATCATTATGGGTTTCAGTCTCTGGGCGCAGAATTGGGCTGTGTAGCTTGCTCACGCGGCCACACAAGGCTGTGACGCACGTCGTACAGATTATCGTCTGCTCTAGTTAGCTTTCTCGCACACACGTGCCGCACAAGCACCTGCAAAACAAACGCGTACGTATACGTATACGTGGTACGTATACGTGGCGGAGGGCCCCGGAGGTCACTCACCTCACTACAACAGGCGTGCGCACTGGAGGATGGTAAGGGAGCGGCCACTGCCGTACTAACCTACGAGGGGGTTGTGCAAACACAGCCCCACACATTGACATAATAGGGAAGGAGCGCCAAACTTAGGGAGCGGGCGCAGGGTGAGACCCATACATTGATATATAATAGGGAGGGGCTGCGCTGTTAATGAACCTTTTTTTCCCCCATGAAGGGGAAGCATGCGCACGCCTGCGCTCAAACCTGAACTGGTGTGACGTCTCTTCAACTTTCGTTTGCCTTCCTAGAGAGCTACGACAGTTCTGGACGCGCTTGCGATGAGCTTCGGTCAGGAGAATAAGCATTTAGGTACACTTTAGAGGTGAATTTAAAAAATATATATAATCTAAACGTTCGCTGTGTCCAACCGATCGTGTGGAGTGGCCTAGCATACAGAGGAAACCCACAAGAGGCTTGTTTTAGCCTCGAAATTCGATGACACCACCCCTTTAAGTAAAGAAGACTAACGGGCGCCACAGGGCCGGAGAGTTGCAGCTACGCTTTATGCTCAATTCTATAACAGTCTCATCATCCACCGCTCACGGCCGGCTGATGTCGTTAAAAGCGATTGAAGATAGTCGCTTTGACCCTTTAGCCCAGCACGGAAAGGCATTATAGTACCGGAAAAGGCGCCTCACAAGCTCTCTACGGGGAAAACCAGGAGCGCACTACGGGAAAATTGACGTTTCGAGCGTACACGCAAGGTTTACTTCCGCGTTCAGAGCGAGACGAATCACGCCGAATTGAACTGCGAACCTTTCCGCCCAGTTCCCTCACTTCTTTCCATTTATAGCGTCGTTATGACCCTGACAAACGTGTCCTCTAAAGAAGAACCAACAGGATTACGAAATATTTCCTCTACGTGTTAAGTCAATCGAGCAATACCCGCGCATTTCATTCAACGTACTTAAAAAAAAGGGCAACCTTTCTGCTACTGCGAAGATGGAAGCTAGCAAAACTCGTAGAGAAAATTTTGCGATAACTAATTTTTATATTACCAGTATTGACTATATATAAAATAAGCGAATAAAGAGGCCCATAAAAAATCTTGGAGCATGACGCACATTATCTCGACAACGACGGCAAACGGCGGTGTCGCATTGGAAATTTTTTGTACATAGTAAACACCGTTGCTCAGAAATTACAAAGAAAAAGACATGATATTCGTTTTTCATGTTGGCAATATTGTCTTTGAGGCAAAATTGCTCCTGTCATTCTGCCTCGTCGGCTAAATCATACGTCTTTACGTTTACGAAAGCTTCGAAACCCTTCGATGAAAGGATATAGAACCAAGAGAAAAACTAAAAAAATAAATAAAATAAAAACCATATCTAGCTGAAACAACGAAGTACACATATACAGTGGAGAACAGCGACGTATAGTTATGCGAAACCACTGACCTTTCTTCTTGTTCCAGAAGGTCCACTTGGCACGGCCCTTGGGGTCGAACATGCCGGGCTGGCCTAGAAATGAACAGAAAATATGTGATGAACAAGATGGCGCATACAGCATGATTACGCGTGACGTAAGACTAGCCACTGTGAAGGCACGAAGCAATATAAAACCAGCAAGAGAAATGGAATATGTGCTCGCTACCTTCGTAATTACTTTTTCCGTGGTGGGAGACGTCTCAAATGACTAGACATCATAATTAGAGTATAATCAACTGGGTTAATTTATTTAACTTAATTAGGTCAGACAAGCGGTCGGGTCCAATAAAAAAATTCACTGTCCTTTCTGCGAAAAGGTCATTGCCGCTTTGAGATTTTGAGAGAATCGGCCGCTGATAATTACTGCGGAGCACTTACGTCCAACCAAATTCACCATAGACACAGAAGCTCCGATGCACGCAACTAGCAAACGACCAGTGTTGCATCACTGTTCACGACAGCGATTGCCGTGATGTCAGTTCGTCTGCGTTAACGTGCACCAGACGTGCTTTATTCACAAAACGAAACCCGCGCAATCACGAAGCGAAGTCCCTCGATGGTTGATACAACGACGCTGTAATTAATTTCCCGAGTTTCGGTTTTGCAGATGAATATGTCAGATTTCATTGCTCGCTAATGATTGCCAGCGGCTGCCGCTGCTGCGAAATCTGAAAGCGGCCGCGGGCTCTTCGCAGGAAGTGCTGCAATTTTCCCCTTTGACCCGACCACCTGTCTCTTCTAAATATAAGTTGATTACGTTTTTAGTTTCCCGTCGAGATTAACGTCTGTACTTAGCTTGAAATGACTGCCGCCACAAAGGCAGTAATTGCGAAGGCAGCGTGAAAATACCCGATTTACCTTACTTCTGACGATTTTCAGTCTTTTCTAACTACGCAAACCATCTGAAAAGCGATAGGTAGCAAAGAAAAGTAGCATGTTAACTCAGAGAGAGGGAGAGAGAGAGAGGTTGCCTTGCAGTACGCGGCTTTTCAAGATCACGGTGTTGCGACATGAGCAACACTATACACGAACTCCAGCAACAGTCGGCATTTCCTAGAAGTGACCGGGCGTTTGTCAAGTGTATCGAGTACTTCCCAAGTCGCCACGCAAAGCAAACACGCGGGAGGTGTGCTGCGGTCGTTATCTCACTTCAAGAACATGCAGCCGCGGTGGCTTAGTAGGTATACGGAACTGCCACTGCGGACCCGAAATGCGCGGGTACAATCCTATAGCCACGGCTGTTCGTCGAAATGCTACCTGGCGCTGCCGTCAGTTGAGGAAATCTCCAGCGCGATGCGCTTACAGCCTCACCCTCTGTTTTAGTTCACTCGAAGTGATCACAGTCGTATTCAGAAGGCTCGCAAAAAGATTATCCTAGATTCGGTGAATATATGGCGCTTTATCTATTCACTTACAGGCTATATCTGCGCCGGACACCCCTCCCCCATACCCCAGGGTTATTACAACCTAACTGGAGAGCTGCGTCGAATGCCAGTGAAGGCAGCACGACCAGAAAAATAACATATGCACCCTATACCATCTCGCACACACGTACCTCATTCCGCCCCCATATTTCCTTTAACATCAAACACGACAATCACTTTCCCCGTTCACCGGGTCGACATCCACCGAAACACAAATGATATGGTAGTTTAACATTTTACGAGAAAAAAAAAACAGTATTAAAGGACTCCGCGGCTTTACATAACGTGTTGTGCGAAATAGCCAGTCGGCTCACTTCGCACAAAAAGAAAAAAAAAAAACATTTCTCCCTTTTTATTTGCTTTCCACCTCAGCCCTGGCGTTCAATTGCGCGCTCGAATCATGTACACAATGCAGCCTCTTGGCGAAAAGGGAGGCAAATAATTGCCGAATACCACACGCTCAAAATAAATGCGTGTGTCTAAACGCCCAGCGTGCCTCAGCGAAATGCGAGAAAGAGAGAAAAGAAAGTGCAGCAGAGGAGCGGATCACCTGCTGCGTTAACATGCCTAGCGCAATCGCCGGAACAGGTGTGTAACTACACCAATGTTATAAATATCGCGCAGCCAAGACTCGTGCTGCTATTCATTGGTACGACAGCTAGCGATGGTTAAGTCGTAAAGTATATTTGCCTCGTCGCTAAAGCAACCTGCAACGAGCCATGTCACGTGGCAGAGGATTCCTCTTGCTGTCGTGTGATCTATAGACCGTTACCAATAGACCACCGTAGCGGGTAGAAAAAAGAAAAGTGTATACTATTATTGCTATGTTGGTCTCAGTATACGAAAACAATGTTTTCTTTCAGCCCGCTACGGTGGTCTGCAGACCCTAAAGTCGCGGGATCGAACCTCGGCAGCGGCGGTTACATTTCGAAGGAAGCGAAATGTTACAGGTCTGTGCACTTATCAGGTGCACCTTGGAACAACCACCAGGAGGTCGAAATTTACGGAGCACCGCAATTCGGCGGCCCTGAATCGTATCTTCAAGCTTGGACGTAAACCCACGACAATTATCACCGTCTTCTTTCTCTTTCTTGTTGCTTCTCGGCGATTGTCACAAATGATCTGAGTATGCAAATGATGCTGCCACTGGGGGAAGAACTACAGCCTACATAAGAAGCGATGGCTTCCATTCTCCTATATACAAGCATATCCTATCAGTGATGAGCACGACGGGAATGGAAATTATTTCGGAACACTGCACGACGCCCGTTCATGACAAGACACGAACAAAAACGAAGTTTGACGGCGATAGCAGCTTTCGGGGGGGGAGGTGGAGGGGGTAGAGCACGCGGAATTGCACTCGGAACTCAGATACGTTATCGTCTTAAAAGTCGGAGCAAGGTCGGTTGCGTTGTTCGAAGGAAGAAAAAAAAAAAAAACGTATCAACGGAAAAGCTTCTTAGCATGACCGATCAGCAAGCAAGCAAGAAAAAGTAAGAGCGATATGAAGAACAGATAGAGAAGGAAGAGAGTGGCTCACTGATGTTGCAGTCGCCGATGCTCCCCTGCTTGTAGAGGGCGTACAGCTCGAGGAGCTCCTCGTCGGACGGGCGCTCCTTGAGGTTCTTGACGTCTTCGGCGGCCTTGTTGAATCTCTGCGAGGCCGAGAAGCGAAGATTCGTCGCTAAAAGCTTTCGAAAGTTTCATTGGCGAGCGGAGGAAGTGTAACAAGAAGCACTTCTTTCTCTCTCCCCCTCTAATCTCTATCTGAATGTGTGCATATTTACGAGGAGTGCTACCATTGGTACGAACACTATGCATTACCATATTCTGCCCGTAACGGAAGGTCCCGATAAAATATTCGACTCTGGGACCTCCTGATGTACACTAAACACATGTAATATTCCTGTGATTGTAGCAATAACATTCTGATTCCAATGAAGAAAAAGTAGGACAATTTCGAAGGGGGCTCGTTTTTTATTTTAGGCACAATGAAATTAATTGAACAGACAACGGGGCCGGAAAAAGTATAGGGGGCACGAATTGTCGAGTTTGACCGCACTATTATAATTACGACATAAACTGAAATAACTTTAGTCCACTTTAATTTTTTTTTTCAATGGCGTAGTTAGTCTGTTGGATTCAGTTGGTTATATAGACTGCTCTTAGAATATGCATTCTGGAGACGCAGTGTCCGCATAGTCAACGCATCTTTTTTTTTTATTATTAACAGTTCCTTCGACTAGTAGACAGGAGAGAGCGATACACATTATTCGTGGGATTGAACGTCCGGAAAGCTTAATAATGTGGCTTGACTTAGACCGAATGTTCCTAGTACGACTGCTGCCTACCACTATCGGTGAACGTTCCACGTGCCGTGTCCTATTGTTTTGTTGGCTCGAAACGAATGCAACCAAAAAGAAATGACACGCGCATTTTGAGTTTAAGATCTCTTTTTTTAAAGCAGAAACAGAAAATTACTGAGTGTAGAATAATTAGTATTTATTGAGATGCTAATTACGATTAATTACGAAGCATTGCACAAAAGATATTTCCTTCTTTTCGTTTTTAAAGTACAATGTTGAGTACGCATCTGCCCGAATGATAAATACCCCTAAAGAAGATATTAAAAAAGTAAGAAGAAAATCAACGAAACTTTTAGAGTTTTCTCGTGAGACTTGGCGTTACGCACGAATAAATGACATATTATGCCGCGGGTAAGTCAAGTGCGTCAGTTTAAACGTCATATATATTCGCTCTACGTACGCAACGAGAAGTTCCTCGTAACGTTGCACTAATGAGTAACTCCACCGACTAAGCAGAGAAAACATATAATTTGCCACGAATTTCTTTACCAGAACCATGCTTTCTCGTCCTATTCGAATACGCAGAATGGCCGATTCCAGAACGGCTGCGAGCGCATCATTGACGAAGCATGAAAAGAAATGGACGTTAAAACTTCTGCGAAAGAAATGGGAACAGATGGAGTGATCGACAAGTGCGTCCGCGTGTGCTCGCGGCGGCCCAAGTAGGCGGTAAATGCGAGGCCGGCAGTAGGTCCCTCGCGAAGCTGCGTTCGATCGTTCGAAAATCCAGCGCTATCGGTCGAAATACGCTACGCGCGCCCACACGACTATGCCGTTACCTGACCGAGAAATTAAAGAGTGCTTCGCGATCGCCACAAACTACCCCAACTGAGGCGCAGTTTTTCCTTATTCTGATCCATTAGTTTGACCCTCATTCAATTACTACCTTCGTTTGCCGTAAATGTCGCGCATTTTCAATCACGGAATTATCCATCCATTCAGCGACAATAGCAGTTTTCGAAAGGATCATATAACGTGGGCACTAGTAAATTTGCATTAGAGCGTACGAAATAAGCAGCTACAGGCTTTTTGATCAGATTTCAAATTTAGAACAGCGGATTAGACTAGACGGTGTCGGTCCACCAATTCGCCTCTTTTACAATTTAAGAACAATCAACGATTTCGTTGTTGTTTTTTTCAGAAATGCCAGCTAAGTTCATCTCTTACCTCGTCCAGAGACATGACGCTTCGCTCGTAATCCGAACAGCGAATAAACTTGAGGAAGTAAATTCGGATAAGCACAAACCGGCCACCACCTTTATAGCAGTAGACAACTAGTGTTTCCTGCGATGGCACTGCCTCACAGAGAACAAGTTTTCACAACGTTGCAAAACAAAAACAAAATATTTTTGTAAACTGAATAATACTTTTAATCAATTCTAACAATTAAACAAAACACATTTGTTTTATTTTATTTCTCAGAACGTATATAGCAAAAAAAACATTATGTTGTTTTTAAGACAACTACAGTTATCTCTGAGTCTTAAATACAACTCTCGAAGGCTAGCCAAATTTTAAGTTTTCTTATATTCACGTCATAGTCGCCATGTTTTAGACGTTGAGCACACAACGCCAAATTTGTCGTTAGGTTTCGGACCGTCTAGCAACAACACGCACCACCCCGCTCCCTTTCCCAGTCAGCGTCGTTTACGACAGGTTCGGCAAAAATGGTAAGCCCCAAACAAATCTAATTTAATCTGCTTTTCTTATGCGCATTGCCTTGAAAATGATTCACAATAAAATTAAGTAAAGCTTCATGCGTTTGTGGAACCTCCGATTGACGACATTCGCATCTCGAGCACTTGTGTATTGCCGGTTCATAATCGCCACACTCGCTTTCAATTTCAGGCAAAGAGGACCAAGAAGGTCGGAATCGTCGGCAAGTATGGAACCAGATACGGTGCCTCTCTTCGTAAAATGGCGAAGAAAATTGAAATAACCCAGCACGCTAAATATACCTGCACTTTCTGTGGCAAGGTGAGTAAAACGTTACCAACCGATACGTGAATCCAAAGTGCGCGTGTTCCGAGTGTTTGGTTGTGGCTCTTTTACCGCTACTAGGTCTTCTCACGAAGGCTTTTTGTCTAAGAACAAAGACGGGAAAGTGAGAAATTCTGTTGTGGTTGCTTTGTAGGATACGATGAAGCGCACCTGTGTAGGGATCTGGAAGTGTCGGTCCTGCCGCAAGACTGTAGCCGGTGGCGCCTACGTTTTCAGGTGAGCACACGCATAAAACGTGCATGATTCACGATTTTTCAGTAAACGGTAAAAGGCTTACGTGAGCCCTATCATAAATAATTGCGTTTCGAAGTCGTGCGACTTTCGTGCTGCATAGTTCGTTGTTTACAGCTGTATTTAACTGCGAGAGCCAATGTAATGCTGACTTGAAGAGGACTGTCGTTGGTTTAGGGGAGGTATGAAAGTTCGCGCATTGGCAGTTCATATGAGCTTTGCATGGGCTGTGATTTTTGAAATTCCGTGTACTGTCACATGATGGCAAAGGGAGCTGAAACGAACGAACGATGGCTACGTCCAACTATACAGTGTGTGTGTGTGATATTCAAATGGCAAAGCTGCATTTTTTGTGCTCGCTGATAAGTGGTGCGACAAGCAGATTTAAAAAGTTTTGTCAATGAAAACTGTGTGGCCAGAACTCAAACGTCTAGTAGCAGTGATAACTGCTCTATTTTGACTTATCCGATGTTCGCATAAATGATGCCACAAACTTGCATTCTGGTTCATTGAGTTCAGAGAAAAGAGGTTCTCTACTTTTTGTTCTCCGTGAAAGGGTCGTGACACTCTTCCTACAGTCCAACAGTCTTTCTAGTGTCATAATTCTTTTTAAAAATATTTATAAACCATTGAGCTTGATCTAAGGAGCAGTAACAGTCTGTGGGGTATGGACAGTTTGCAAAAATGCTACTGCGCATGCTATAGCTCGTTTCTCGCGAGCGCCTCTTATGCGGTTGCAAAGTGGCTGGCGACTCAACTCCCCTATGGCTTTGGCATTTCGGTACCCTGAGGCATTGCATGAGGCTGCCACCTTTGCCATTTGTGCGCACCATGCCTGCACACTTCGTTGCATACATGTGCACAAACTACCTCGGCTAGGGCAACGTCGGGCTTCTTCGTTTTTCTTTCGAAAAGTGGTACCTACCACGAAGAGAAAACGCTAAAAGACGAGACTAAAGGAAGCACTGTGTTGTATGTCCTTTCTTCATCCCGCCATTTACTGCTGTTTTGTACCGTCAACCTGACTAGCCCAGTTCAATCAAGCTCCAAACCATTTCTGCACTGTGTTGAAAAAAGAGATATGCCACAATCATTTCTGCAGGAGCAATACATTCATAAGGTACATCTATACAGGACTGCTTTACTTTACTGCTGTTTTGTACAGTCAACCTGACTAGCCCAGCTCAATCAAGCTCCAAATCATTTTTGCACTGTATTGAAAAAGGAGATATGCCACAATCATTTCTGCAGGAGCAATACATTCATAAGGTACATCAATACAGGACTGCTTTACTTTACTGCTGTTTTGTACAGTCAACCTGACTAGCCCAGCTCAATCAAGCTCCAAATCATTTTTGCACTGTATTGAAAAAGGAGATATGCCACAATCATTTCTGCAGGAGCAATACATTCGTATGGTACATCAATACAGGAGTCTGTTCATTGGCTCTCTTGTCGGCTACGCTCAGCAGCAATCTGGCAACAAACTGACGAGATTAGCTGAGTATGCAGATATAAAAAAAATTGTGTAAAGATGGCTGAGTATGCAGATATTAAAAATTGGTATATATTAGACATCTAAACATCGTAAGATATATAGATGAGAGCTAAGGTGAAACAAGCAGTACAAGGGGCAGTGCACACAAATTTACATTGCACCAGTTGTCAGACAACCTTTAATATTGTAAAGAAAGCGCAACCTTGAAATTTACTGCCACATAGTTTTGTGGCTAACAAAAAAAAAAAATATGAACACGTATTTTAGTGCCTTGTCGTTATTGTGCAAGTGAAAAATCATTTCTGACTATCAATGAGATCAATATGTAACCTAAGAAGCCTACTGGTTCCAAATTTATAAGTTAAAAATATACGTATATTTACGGGAGGAAGGAAATATATGCTACTCTAAAGTAGGAGCATAGGAAGAACATGGTAAAACCGGTGCACGGTATGTTCGTGTAACAGGGTAATGAGGTCGCTTGAGTAGCAACAATAAACTTTAATTTATAGGCAGTTGCGATCGCTGGCGGGCGTGCTATCACGGCAAGTATCAGCTGTGCGCTTTCAATGCGAAGGGACTGGGAAAAGTGCACTTCTCCCTGGAGCAGTCGTGTTTGCTCACACAAGCGCTCTGTAGGAGTTCCGGGATGTCAGATCGAAAAGAGTTGGCTGCCAGCATTGCTTCATCTAACATTATAATTTTTTGCTAACAGACACGGATACTACAAAAAACTATTCGATAACTCCATATGCAGCGTGGCCCCACAAATGCGACACTAACTAAAGGTATGGAACTGCCAACGCAAAAGTATTTTCTTATTGGTTTAGAGGGGCGAAGGCAGGCACAGCTGCCCATGCTCCTGTGGCGGCAACGCTAGCTCGTGAGGCGCTGGCCGACCTAGCACTCACCCGCGCGCATTAACGAGTGATTGCTCTCACCTAGTGTGCCGTTAGCGCCGCCGCCACTACGGGCTTCGTCGGCAGCAGGGTACTTGCGGAAGATGCATGCTCGTACCAAAATGCCAAAATCTGGGGGGAAATTCCTACAATGTTCGTGGGAAAAATTCTTTACATCAAGGTCTACTGCTGTTACTTCGTTACATAGAGATTGCAAATACGTGGGCTTCTGTGCAGTAACGGCGAGGAATAGGAAAGCTTCATTATGTTGAAAAATTCGTTATATGGAGGTTATATACCAGGTCTAACTGTATTTTGCAAAGGGCCTATTGGGTGCAAGGCCTGCCACCAGAGGAGCAGGCACAGCAGTGGTTGAAACGTGCAGGGTCTTGCGTCACTCTGGCGAAGGGAAGTGGGCAGTTGAATGCATTATTTTCAACCACGACTTCGCTGTGTTGTCACTTTTGCACAAAATTGTTGCTCTCTCAATTCACATCGGTGAACTTCTAAAGACTACACAAGCCAGAAAAGTGCATTATCGGTTACCAGCGGCATGATGCTTTTCTGCTTCGTGCCACGGTGCATTACATACCAGGAGCCAGGCGTAATATTCGACTTTTACCCTTGTCGCCATTTCGCAAGACCTCTTACTTTGTCGTTATTTTAAGCCCACAAAATGTATACTGACCAAGAATGTTCACATCAACCACAGCAGAACATTTGTTTCCGCATGGGACTCGTTCACAATGAAAAACGGATGTGCAAGCAATCCAGTCATGTATGATTTAAAACATGACGTGGCAACATGCGTACAGTGCTGGGCAAAGAGACTTCGAAATTGTATTGCGATATGATACAAGACACTCAGACAAAAAGTATTGGAGATACAATATTACCACACAAATTGTGTCCGATACGGTACTTGCCAATTGTTTATTAAGATATTCAATACATTTGCAAATTTGTGGTTATAGACCCAGTATAGTGAGCGCCCATGCTCAAAAACGACGGCTTGGAAAGTTCTGAAATGTGCCCAATTTTATTTTAGTTGAATGTTTGTTGGTATTTCAAAAGTTTTGTCCCAAAGTAAATTAGTTTACTTCAGAAGAACTTTTTTAGTTGAATGTTTGTTGGTATTTCAAAAGTTTTGTCCCAAAGTAAATTAGTTTACTTCAGAAGAACTTAGTAGGGTTTTGAATTGACAAACATGCTCTAGGCCTGTGCTCAGATCTGGGTGCACGGTAAAGGGGCCCTGAAACACTTTTTTGAGTAACCATGAAATTAATTCACTGGAAAAGTGTATTGCCTCAAAAGATTAACGCTGCAAAAATTTCAAGAATCTGTCCAATACGAGCGGAGTCGCAAAGATTTGTCACACAATGGCATTCTCTGGTCTTGACGAAAGCGCTGGAAGCTAAGCAGGGAGGGATGGGTGGGACGGACAAAAAACGTCACGCGCGCCTCCTGACCTTGAGTACATTTCTCTTTTTTTTTTCTTCGAATGCACGGTTTTTTCAGTCTGATCGCGCGCGCACACGTGGACAAGTAGCGGCCTCCCGCGGCTATCTCTTTAACGACTGAGCGCACTAGGTTCAAATCGGGAAATGGCTGATAGATAGGCTTACTACGAGCAAGTTTTGGGCTTATTCCGTGA